GTCTGTGTTGGTTTTTGCCATGAACTTATTAGCAGATGTTTGAAGACATTTAATCACATTAGTATCCACTTTAAAGATAGGAATATAAAAAAACATGTTATGTGTTAACAGGATTTAATTCTAACTTTGAAACTTATCCAACATTAATAAAACTTACTTCAATTTGCCTTTTTGGACATGCATGCATATAATTATACAAACCGTACTTGAGAGGAGATTATTAAAGCCTCGTAAAATCAATTATGATTATGATATCGGAATAGTATCGGTATTGGTCGATATCCAGATTTAGGTATCGGGATCGGATCAGAAGTAAAAAAAAAAAAAAAGTGAATAGGTGCATCCCTAATACAGACGGATGGACAGATGGATGGATGGATGGATGGATGGACAGACAGAAGGATGGACGGATGGATAGATGGATGGACAGACTAATGGACAGACGGATGGATGGATGGACGGACGGAAAGATGCTGGACATTTATTGACGGTGTGTGTTGATATGAAACACCAACAGTGAAACTGAAAACCTCTTTGGAGGAGAGTGAAGAGGAGCCCTCAGCTGACCTGATGACATCAGCGCAACTTTGGTTAAACATGATATAAATTGTTACACATTTGTTACAAAATCAATAATTCTTATATAACAATGATGATTATTATTATTATATCAATAATTATTTCATTTTAGACAAGTTATTCCTTGATTAATCCTTATTGCTTAATCAAGTCTAATTACTTAAAGCTACATCTTGGAAATAGTTTTATCCAAATTATTATTCTTTGTTATTTGTGTTTATATTGTTGTTGTTTGTAGTCTATTTTTTTAGTTATTTTAGTAAAAGACAGGTTATAATTTTAAAAATAAACAAAAACAGACAAATTGTAATTTTAAAAATAAACAAACAAAAAACGGAACACTCAGGAGGAGGAGTCAACAGAACAAAGAGCCATGTGTCTATGTGACATCATCATGATGTCACATAGACACATGGATCAAAGGCCGCCATCATGTCACATGATGATGCCATGTGATGTCATAGTGACATCATCCAACATTGTCTATATATACAAGAACTCTTGTCTTGAGTTCATATCACTTGAACCTCTTCACAGAGAAGTAACGTTTTAGTGCAGCACAAGTTTTTGACAGAGAATTTTGGAAAATGTCTTATCAGAGGCAACCAAATCCGAGACGAGGCAGGAACCAGGGAGCCCGGATGGAGCGCCCGTCGGTCCATGAAGAGATCGACAGGTTGAACGCCCTTCTCAACGAAGAAAAGGGAAGGTCGTTCCACGCGCACCATCGAGCGGACCAACTGTGGCAGGAGCTTCAAGAAACCAAGGCCCAGTTGGAAAAGCAGAAGAACCTCAAAGAAATCTTTATTAAAAAAGAGAAGGAGGTCCGGAAAGAATATGAGCGACTGCAGAATTACACCGATGCAGACACTCTAAGTTCTGCCAAGATTGGCTCTCAGGTACAGAGTTCCATCAAACGGAAGAAAAAGAAGGACCTTCAGCAGGACTACGAGGAACTCAAAGTGGCTCACGTGGTCAACCAAGAGAAGTTTTCTTCTGAACTCCGGCTGGAGAAAGAGAAAACTGAGGCTCTCCAGCGGCTGCTGGATGAAGCCAAATGCCTGAATGAAGAAATGAGCAGCAAACACCAAGTGGAAGTTGCCTCACTTTGTCAACAGGTTGTGGTTTTACAAGACCAGGCCACGCAAAACCAGTTGAAACAGGATCTTCTGAAACTATCCATGGAGAAGGAGATCCAGTCTCTGCGTATGATCTCGGAAGACGCAGAGCGAAAGCTGAGACAAGAGCTTGAGCAAATCTCAGCTTCTTGTAATCAGCTCGAAGTGGCTCACGTCATGAGCCAAGAGAAGTTTTCTTCTGAACTCCGGCTGGAGAAAGAGAAAACTGAGGCTCTCCAGCGGCTGCTGGATGAAGCCAAACTGGTACATGATGAAATGAGCAACAAATGCCAAATGCAAGTTGCCTCACTTCATCAGCAGACTGTGACTTTACAAGATCAGGTCACAGAAAAAGAGCGCCAGCAGGATCTTCTGAAAGCGACCATGGACGAGGAGATCCGGGCTCTGCGTAAGGTCACAGAGGACGCAGAGTCGAAACTAAAACAAGAGCTGGAACTAATATCAACATCCTACGACCAACTCAAAGTCAGCAATGGCTTGGATGTTGAGGCGCTTAAAGTATTGTCAAAAACGTTTTTAAGTCAGCTCAACGAAGAGATTCAGGCTTCGGTCCAGACCACATCCCTGCCAGAGATGACCGAGGTTCAGCCCAGAGAGACCAAGAAATCCTTCTGGAAGAGAACACGTCATTTCTTTGGTCTCAGAAAGCCTGACAGTTGGAAGAAAAGTAAAAACGCTTCCGACTGAAAGCTCTTCCCCCCCACCCCCCCAGACACACACACACAGACACAGACACAGACACACAGACACACACACACACACACACACAGACACACACACACAGACCAGTGACTTTAAATTTGTTTGGTTTTTCATCGTTTTGAAAAAAAACGAGCAGCACGGTGACGGCAGCCAACTCTGTAACCGTCGTGCTGTGTGGGTTTTTCACCGGAAACTCCGGTTACCCCCCCACAGGGGAAGCTGTGGTTGAGTGCTTAGAGCAGTCGTTCGCCAATGCAAGAGTTGGAAGTTCGACTCCACCAGCAGTCACATGCCGAAGTGTCCCTGGGCAAGACACTGAACCCCTCATTGCCTCTGATGCGTGTCCCATCAGTGTATGAATGTGATGTCAAAGCACCAATTAGTCTCTTTAGAATGATTTGTTCAATCAGCTTTATAGAGCTCTAGTAGAGTGCTGGATGAATGGGTAAATGAGGACACACATTGTTTTGTACTGTAAAGAGCTTTTAGTGTCTGGAAAAGATAGAAAAGCGCTACAGTCCATTTACCATAGTTTAAACAAATTTATTCACTGGTCTCACACACACACACACACACAGACACAGACACAGACACACACATACCCCCCCCCCCTTCCTCACCCCGGTGAATCGCCACCTTATCGTGGTGGAGGTGTTTGCGTGTCCCAATGATCACAGAAGTCCTGCTGGTGCGGACAAAGTGAGGGACCAGACTAAGAGCGATTCAGTAACTTTCGTCTTTGTTGTGTTTATTTTGACAAACATGGACGGAAAAGATAAACGTTGCAGAACGTAAAAATAGCAAAAAATACCAAAAGTCATA